TGTGTGTGTGTGTGTGTTTGTGCGTGTGTGTGTGTGTAACAATATCACCGTCACGTTACTGTCATTCACAGCAAGTCATCGACTGTGGAAATGCCGGCTCGTGTGGTGGGGGTTTACCTGAAGGGGTTTACGAATATGCTCATTCTGTGGGAATTCCCGATGAGACTTGCAACAACTACCAAGCAAAAAATCAAGGTAGACTCTAGTTACATGTATATATTGTTGTTGTTGTTGTTGTTGTTGTTGTTGTTGTTGTTGCTGTGTAAGCTTTGACGGGTTGTATAAGCGTTGCAATAGATAAAATGTAGTCCGAAGGACTCAAATGGTTTTTTTTAAATGATTCATTGACAATTTATAATTAAATTCAAATTAAGATAAGGGCTCAATAGAAGTGAATAATGAGATTTAAAATCCTTACTGACTCACAACTACTATCAATCATTCACTCACTTATCCTGTCACTTCCTCATTCGCTCATCCAACTATTCCCTTACACTGTCACAACTTTGCTAACACATTTACTCACCCATTCATTAACTAACTACTATTATAAATCATTCACCCACTCACCCAGTCACTCCCTCATTCACTCACTCGCCTAGTCACTCCCTAATTCACTCACTTACCCTGTCACTCATCCAGATATTCACTCACACGCACAACTTTGCAAATACATTTAATCACCAATTCATTCTCTTTCTACCTTGTTTTCCGAGTCACTCATACCTTCACTGACTACATTATAGTTAAACACCATCCACGCTATTGATGTGGCGTCGGCGACCTAGTGGTTAGGCCACCGGACCGTAATCATGAGAAAGTGGGTTTGGGGGCTCGAATCTCAGCTCGGTCCAACGTTGTGTCCTTGGGAATGGCACTTTACACGAATTTCCTATTTCGCTAGGTCCTTTCGGAGATGGACGTTAAATTCGAAGGTCCAGCCTCTTAAATAATTTAATAGTTTTGATAGGGGCGTTAAACCTATACCATTTCACCGTCTTCATCGCATTACTGATCAATGTTTCCTTGTTCTTTCCAGACTGCACGGGGTTCAACAAGTGTGGAACATGCACTACTTTTGGCCAATGCCACACCATTAAGTCATTCAAGTGAGTCATAGCGGGCACGCACGCACGCACACACACACACACACACACACACATGCACACGCACACATACACACACGCACACACACACACACACACACGTACACACACACACA